CCCTCCTTCCCTATAACGTCCAATTAACGTTGAAATTAAGTTCGGACATCATTTTTGCCGTATATATAACTCGAGCCGCGTTACGTCTGCTACATCAATGTGCGATAATCACAGACATTATATTGTATTCCATTTCAGATAACGAATCTTATTTTATTTCTATAAAATTAATTATCGCTCGATGAACATTTATCATATTATTCGTAATATTATGATTATCTATTGATGATATTTATTCGACGAATATATACCATTTCAGAAATAGAAATTTAATATATTAATCGAATATACGTTTTCCTGTTATAAACATATATACACACACGGGTAAATATATAAACAATGATATATCCGTAATTAAAAGTGGATACAAATTTATGGATAAATATTTGGGGAATATCGTACTAAATTATATATATATATGTAGAATAATAAATTGTATTTGATATTAAATTAAACCCGTATTCAAATTAGGGAGGATAAATATTATTTTCGAAATATTTATCGCTTATATAACGATCTGTTTCCGATGTATAAATTATTCGAATATCATTGTCTCTCGAATATTTTCATACAAATGATAATTCAAACGTCCCGCGCTACACTTCACGCGGAACAAATCGGTCTAATCGATTCATAAATATCGAATATATGTTGAAAGAACCGGTTCTAAATCACCGAGTTGGTGAAACTCGAATGAGAACTGTGAGTGCTAAATAAGAAATTTGATCGGTTGGAAAACAATGAATCAAGAGAATAATATATATTTTTGTGGTGAATAATTATTTTGTTTACTAAAAATGTTCATGCGAATACATTACCTCTTAGCGTATGTGGTCACATCGTTCTCCAAGCTGGTGCTGGCGAAACAATAGCCATCAGTTTCGCACGTGTGATTGGTCTCCGTGCAAATATCGCAGTAACACTTCAGTCCTGAAAGATAGATAAGTAAAAAAATAAAAAATTCTATCAAGGATAACGAGAATGTCGAGTATCATCGAATATGTAGATATAGGATATATAATATAGTATACTTGAGTATACTTCATTTTTTTATTTGTTCAATAACTGGACGAGATAAGAATAAATGCGACTTCCTTTGTTTTATATTATTAAAATTCAATCTTTTTTAATTATCATATAAAAAGCTAAAAATTATATTAATAAAATATTTTTATTATAATATTATTATATTATTATTAATAAAATAAATCGCGATTCATAAGTTGGGAATTCATTGATCTGTTAAAAATTTATTCTTACTTTTTTTTTGTTCTTTACAATTCATATAAGAATGCACTAAAAAGTCATGCATGTAAAACGAAGAAAAAATTTAAAAAACTTCAAATATATTCAAAAATCTATATTATAAACAATTATCGTGGAATACATGATAAATTAATCCTATTATAATTAATTATAAAGTTTGAACAATTGAAAAAAAATAAATAAATATATTCCTTGTAAAATATTAATTCGGCAGGAAACCACCAAGAATCGAATATGTTTACGCAACTATTTAAATGGATCGGGTTAATAATCGTATACAAAGTTGTGAAGCAATACGATTATACTAATAAGTTAGGCAAAAAAAGAATCGCCTTGAGTGCAATGCAATTATGAAGAAAAATGATGGCAACATTATTTCTTTCGGTAATTTATCACGCGCTTGATGACGCACACCATTTCGATCGCACTATATTTTTTTCCACTCGAACCTGGCCAGGTGTATGTCGAGATAATAGCACATCAAGAACCTCGATAACACCCGTATTAAAGTTCTTTGGTTAGAAATTTTGCGTTGTTCGATTTTAATAAAATTCATTTCAAAACAAAAAAAAAATAAAAAAAATAAAATTAATAAAATAAAAAAATTCAATTAATGCAAAACAACAAAATCAATTTCCGAACATTTTTCTATACATATAACTATTTATAATTCGATCATTCGAAATATTCGCAAAAATTTCTGCCTCACATGATCATATTTATAACTAT